TTTTAATCGATTAAATCGATTAGTTGTTGCAGCCCTAATTTATAGCAAACTATACTTCACTTTAGTGAGAACTGGTGTTAATGATTCGACTGAAAAAACAAGGAAAAAATGTGTTTTCTTTGCTTGTCATTTTAAGTGTTCACTCCAGTTATCTTTTTTCAGTTTTTGGAAACACTATATTACCTAAATATCCCATATCTATATTGTGACGCCCAAAAGTTAGTCTGTATAAATTCAGTGAATCCTTATGTTTATTAAATTTGGTTAGCAGAGCACGCCATAACGCTACTGTTTGGTGGTGAAGAAAGGTGCAGCTCAGCAGCCACATTATCTTTTGAAAGGGGAGATATTGATAAACAAGATAGAAAGATTTTGGTGGTGTGGCAGTACTTTTTTCAGTTTAAAGTCCAACACGTTTATTAAACATAAGGATACACTGAATTTTTAAATTTCTAACTTTTGGGTGTTTGGACAAATGTTTACAACCGTCATTTAAAGCCCTGGCAAGTATTGCACATGCGCCATATAATCACAATGTGATATTGTGCAGCTCTACTCTGAATTATCATTTTTTGCTACCTGCTGTGTCAAAAACGTGTTATATATCAGAGGCGATTAAAATAAAGCAATTAAAATATTAAAATCTGAGCTCTGGAAGGTATGTGTAATAAATGTGTCAAATTGCTTCAAAATCAAAAATGGTGATGCAAAGGACATTGGTTGAATTAAAATGGAATGGCCCTTAAAACACATGGCCAATGCTGTGCTAAAACTGGAGTGCAGTTAATGTTATGAAATGTTTTTTTCTAATTTTCAAATATTGTCTGCATGATTTTCATAGAATAAGATATGAACTAACCCAAAAGACTGTAATGTTTTTTCCCTCCTGTGTTTAAGGGTGAGTTTGAAACCAGCCACACAGAAGTTCCCCAGGATCTGTATTTCTCATCACATAAGATGCTGGGAATTCATGAAACAAGAGATAATGGCTCTCTGCCATTGAGGACCTATCGCTGTATGGCATGTTCAGCCACCTTTCCGGGACTGTCCTCTTTACTCGTGCACCAGGCAACTCATGCAAATAATACCAACTCATCAGATGGGAATCAGCCACCACTCGCACTCCAAGTTTCTTGCAACAATTGTAGAAGCACATATTCCAGCAAGGATCTTTTGGACAAGCATCATTGCAGTGCCCTGCCCATTTCTGCCTCTTCCTCCATTTACATCTGTGGGTGTGGGAATAAGTTCCAAGATTTCAGTGTCATGCTTGAACATAAACAGTTACACAAAACACAGATGGATGTACAGGAGCCCCTGGCAATAAAGGAGGAGAAAGCAGTAGGAGAGAGTGTAAACAGCCCCAGCCATTCAGACCCTATGCATGCATCTTGTAGTGAGAGCTTTAATCTTACTTCTCATTCCATTCTATCCTCACATGTCCATCCACCTAGCCCCCAAATCTCACAGTCAGCCACTGAAGACTCTGAAGTAAGCAATAAGGAGATTTTTAGTCATGCTCCCTCACCTGTTGCAGAGTTAAACAACATGCCTTCTGTAAAGCAAGTTGCACGCATTCCTGTTTCCAACTCACCTGAATTACTTTTGTCACCAACCATTACAGCTCTAAAAGATGACTTTGAACACAGAAGTGTTGCGGATGTGAATTCTATCTCAGACTCAGTCAGTCCCATTCATAGCGATGCGGTTCTGCAAGATGATCAACAGGATGTAAAACCACTAAAAAAAACCTTAAAGAAAATGCTGGTGTCTGCTTTCATGGAAAGATTGCCACCAGCCCAGGCAGCCTGGAGGGCTAACAAAGAAAAAATGCCAAAACCGGTGGGAACACCATCAGTGACAGCCTCTGAATCTATAGAGGGATCATCAATTAGTCAGTTACGAAGATTACTATGTAAATCTGGGACTAAAAAGAAGCAGCAATTGGCTGGTACTCTTAAAAATCTTGGTAATACTGTTAGTTTGACTAAGGTTTTTCTACCTGTGGTGGCACTTGAGACGCGTCGAAAGTTAGTTGGGGTCAGTGAAAATGGCCAAGAAGGTAGACATCAGTGTGGACTCTGCCGGAGGATTTTCCATGACATAGATAGTCTCATATTTCATCATGCTACACACAAGAAAGAAAAAATTAGGGGCTGTCGTCATTGCAAACGACTTCTCATTAGCAAAACCTCTATACAGTTCCACCATCTGTGTTGCCCAGAGCCTGCGGGGATTCTGCAGGATCCATTCTCGGTAGGTGATTTAATGCCCCTCTCTTCAGGAAGTTTGGCAGTTCATGGCCAAAAGGGCACCCTGGATAGCAGTTCTGAGAGAGAACTGCAGAAAAGTCTTTTCTCTTGTCACATGTGCAAACATAGTTACACGCGCCTGTATAATCTAAAAAAGCACAAGTGTCATTTGTTTTCCCAACGGCATGTGGATGGCAGTCTCCCAAAGGACAAAGTCCATATGAAAGGAAATGTAAGAATAGATAATGAGATTGTGGGGGGAATGGGAGGGTCACCCATGCAAAAGAATGTTTCTGTAGGCACTGAAGCCACTAGTCTTATCAAAAGTGGGAGGAATAAGTCTAACTCCTCAAGAGGCCCAGAGGTTTCTCTCGGCATGCTAGCAAAGAACCCAGGAATAAACTTAGGTGTCTGGCCAGGCTCCCCTAAAAGTTTCATGCCTTTCACTTCAAAATCAGTTAGACGAAACTCAGCAGAACTGCAAGAAACAAAGTTGGAAGGCTGGGCTGCTTCCACACAGGAGTATTCAGCTTCAAAGCATATGAGACAAGTTGAAACAGAAGGCGAGGTGAAAAATATAGAGGCAGAGGAAGAGAAAAGACGCTGGACTATGCCAATTGATGAATCGGACATTGATGTTCTATTTGAGGCAGAGCACAGTAATAATAAAGAGGAGTTCGTTTTCCGAAAGCCTGGTCTAGGAGATGGTCTTCCATTCACATCCAGTCAGCTGAATCATCCAATCCAGACATCTGAAGTTGACCAAAGTCATTTGCCCAGCAGAGGAATGCTGCAACATATTCAGAACCCACTGTCAATAAAAGCCAAGTCACATCTGGAAATCAAGAAAAGGTTTGAATGTCTCGGTTGTGGGAAGAGCTTCAGCCGCAGATATGTTCTCAATCTGCATAAGAAGAAATGTATTCCGATAAACAGAAGTACAGAAGATATTGACAGTCACAGTGATCAAAATACTGGAAAATCCAAGAGAATAATTTTGCCAAGACATCATCAAGGATCATTCCAGGAACCAACAAACCAGGAAAGGATGTTGATCCTCACACCATCTTTGGGGGATAAGGTCAGTAGAACAGGTGATAATCTTTCTTCGGGAGACTCTTGGGGAATTATGTCATTACCAGCAGTTTTGCCAAGAAAAGTGACTTGTGAATGTGGATCAGTTTTCACTAGCTCTCGTCAGCTGTTTGAGCACCTTCAGATACATGCCCAAGAGTCTTTCATTTGTCCTAAATGTGGGATGAACCTCCACTCTTGGATGAGTTATGAGGCCCACCTCCACACACACAAACGCTCAGTTTGTCCAAAGTGTCAGCAGTCTTTCAGCCAGCACAGCTCATTGGTCCGGCACTTGAATAAGAATCGATGCAAGGCTGATGGTATCATGGGGAATAAATTTCTATGCCCCAGGTGTGGTGTGGAATTTCTCACTTGTTCCAGGCTTAAGCTCCACATGCACTACTGTGCATCCAAGCCTTCCAGCAAACCAGTCGTCTGTCCAGTATGCACACACAGCTTCAGTAGTAACAAGGAGCTCCAGAAACATTTAATCACCCACAGTAACACCCAGGTTTTTCGGTGCCACATCTGCCAGCGCAGCTACCCTAGCCTGAAGTCTCTTAAGAATCACAAAAGAAAGGTTCACCGATTGATGTTTGCTGAAAATTCCGGAGGGGCTAATAAAATAGGTTTGTGAGTGGTTTATTTTCAAATTAGCAAAAAAGAAAAAATTAAGTTTATTCAAATTAGGAACAATTACTGTATGGTGCTGAAAAGACTGTATTGTATATAATGGTCTGAAATACAATATGTGATCATTGACATTTGACTTTTTATTGTGATTTGTACTGTTTTTTGTTTCAGTTTGGTCTCTCTGAGGTCTTGAAAAGCACTATATAAATAAAAAGTCTCATAATAATCTCGTAATAATAATAATAAGAAGAAGAATTGTGCTTGTGGTTGTTCTTTCTTGTGACTCCACAGAGTAGGACTAGGGCTAAGTGATATGGTTAAATTTCCTACAATAAATAATGCTAACTGGCTTAAGGATTCACTCAGCAGGGATAATAACATAAGAAATTTACAAACGAGAGAAGGCCATTCAGCCCCTCAAGTGTGTTTGGGGAGAACTCAACTAATAGCTCAGAGTAGAGGTGGGCGATAAATCGATTTTATCGATTAATTCGAATTTACAGTTCAGGATGATGTGTTTTTATGAAAATCGACTTTATTACTTATTTTACACGCGAGCGCCAAAAGCGGAACTAATGCGACGCACCGTTCTTCACGGGTACATTAGCGCGGCGCACCCAAACACTGTAGCGGATTCACAAACGACATGGAGATGGTTCGATTTTGCGCCGTTGGACACAGACCAAACAATTCCTCCTTGCAAATTCTATTTAAAAACTGTTGCAACCAAAGGAAGCTGCACGACAAATTTATTCCAGCACCTAAAGCAGAGGCACACTGCGGAGTGGGAGAAGTGCAGCTCCCAGCGAAATGAAAATACCCGCAACACTAGCACAACATCCAAAGTTAAGCAAGCAACCATTCCTGACACGTTTTTGAACTGTGTGCCATATGATAAGAATGGGGCACAGTGGAAGGTGATAAACGCTGTTGCGATGTATATTGCAAAAGACGTGGTGCCCATACATACTGTGGAAAAGCCAGGATTCATTAACATGCTAAAAGTTTTTAAAAGTTTCTAAAAGTGTTTACAATGGCGTGGTCTGCCATCTCACATCTTTTTTGGCTGGTCAGATTGCACTTTAACTGTAAAGTAAAAAAAAAACAAAATAAAGTTAAAACTTGTTTTGAACCATTGATTTGTCATCTGTAGTTTGATTTTAAGTAGAGGAAGGAAAATCGTTTAAAATTGAAAATCGGATTTATTGTGGAAAAAAAATCAGATGTTATTTTTAGGCTATATCGCCCAGCTCTAGCTCAAAGTTCTTAAAATCTTATCTAGCCCTGATTTAAAGGATCCCAGGGTTTTAGCTTGCACTAACAGATCGAGACTATTCCATACTCTAACTAGATGCGGTGTAAAGAAGTGCTTTCTCAAATGAAATTTTAAAATGTTCTCCCGCTAATTTCCACCTATGGCCACAAGTTCTGGTATTTAAACCAATATTGAAGTAGCCATTTGGCTGAACAGCATCCATTCTAACAGGTCTGGATGCTGTTCAACCGAATAGATACTTCAGTATTAGTACAAATACAAGAACTCGTGGCCATACTGTAGGTGGAAATGGATGGCAGAACACGTTAAACTGGATTTGAGAAAGCACTTCCTTACACAGCGTGTAGTTAGAGTATGAAATAGTCTTCCTGTTAGTGTAGTGCAAGCTAAAACCTTTGGGTTCCTTTAAATCGGAGCTAGATAAGATTTTATGGCCTCCTCTCATTTGTAAATTTCTTATGTTCTTATTCCAACCCTACTTATGTGCAGGGTAGATGAATTGTTGAATATAGATTTCCCTTATTGGTAATTAATGCATTCCCAATAACTCGGAACTTCCAACTTCCTACTTTAAAAAAGTACTATAGAACAGTGAATGGAATTGATTCGTAGTGTTAATCTACACAAGTGAATGCTAATTCCGCTAGTGGTCGATGCTGACATATCAGGGAAATTCTCACAGACGTGCTGGCAGAACTTAGCACATAATAAATATGTGCTATATGATGATGTACACTATGTGCACAGTAAATAAGCATCTCTTCGGGTTTACGTCACTGTCACTCTGCAAACCCAGCAATGTGTTTACCAAGCTGACCCTTGGAACTGGAACTAGTCTCGGTTCGTATTTTTGATTGGATACGGCTTGGTTCCTAGTGGCAGTGGAAAATCACCATGTGATAGACTGGTAGTTTCCTGTACTAGGGATTACTGCAATCCAAATCGAAAAAGTGTTTCTTTTCCATTCTTACATTTACTATATGGTTTTTACTTAGAAATGAAAGTTGAACATCACGTGAAATTTTTACACACACACACACACACACATATATATATATTAAAAAAACACCCAGATTTCAGCTGTACGTCTAGACTTGTGTAGTGTGACAGCATTTGCCATGTCTGGTTTTGACAAAACTTCTCTGTTATGGAAGGACATTGCTGGCCATTTTACCAAGATTTAATGTTAGAAATTTAAAAAGGGAAATGCCAGTCAAAGGACTTTAGTAAATAAAACCATATCATAATTCTTTAATTGTGAATACAATGGAAACCGCTTCTAATGATCATGGTTGTAGAATCACACACACACAAGGCAATTCAGATTACAAGGCACAGGAAGGCCAGCTTGTATGGTTCAGAGATTTTGAACCCTAGGAATAACAACCTGGGCCTCGATTCAAGGTCTGGTCTAGAGCAGGCTGATACCCCTAGACTAAGGGGGGATGTGCACTTAGAGACCAATAAGGGTGAAACAAAGAGTGCACCCCCACCCCTTCCTCACACTCAGTATCTCGAAGGAGATTAGGACTTGTTTCAAGAATTCCCTGTTGTGTATTTTTTGTCTGTTTACTATTTGTTAGCATAAATATCTAAATATTATGTCTATGTTCCTTTAAATGATTTAAATAATTTTGTTACCCCTATAAAAGTGCCTCACATATTATGACCTATCATCTCCACATAATGAATTAAATATATAAATATATATAGTCATATAATAATCAATACTTTATTGATCCCCATGGAGAAATTGTCTTAAGAAAGAAAGAGAAAATGCCTCCCTCAACTTGCTCTTTTTTGTAGAGAAGGTTGTCTGTGAAGGACAGCCACTCATATATCCACATACTCTCACGTCTATCATGGAGGAATTAGGAAACATTTAAGGAAATGTAACTGTGTATCATAGTTATCACTTTGCCTCTTGTAATGCCTGTTATAGGAGCGCACTTTCTTTATTTAACCTAATTCACAGACCCCCACCTTCTCCCTACATTCCAGAGGAATGCACCATTTTGGTGCATTCCCTTTTGTTCTTACATTCATCCATCCCTTACATTGAATGAATTAATTAATATGTGTGTTGTTAAACATGGATATCAAATTATTGTAATAATCCCATGTTAAGAACAAATTGTAATCTACAAATGTTAAATTGAGACTGTTACTCTCGGAAACTATAATGACCACATAAACCAACCTGGAATTAAGATGTGCTGTTTATGATTTGGAATAGAACTTCTGTGAAACTTATCTAATGTGTCAATATCTGGTGATGTGTAACATAACCATGCGTACTATGTACCAATATGAATAATCAACATGTACAATGTATTTTAAGAATTAATTTATGCAGATCATATGATGTGTAAACCTCTGAATTGCGATGTCATGTTTGGTAGCAAATTGATGGAGAAATTGTCATAAACCCGAATTTGATCATGGATTTTGATGTATGACTTTAATCGAAATTAGCTCTAAAGTTGCTTCACTATACGGTAGTAATTCCATCGGAGTGCTATACATACCCCTAGTCCCAGATTATTGGCCTGAGAGATCAATGACTTCCTGTGCAGAACAGTATTTCCTTTAAGGGTACCCATTTAAATTAAGTTACTGCTTCCAATATTCCATCTTGCTCATTGATTTTATTGTTCTGTTAATTTGTCTTTGCGTCATGTTAAGAATAATGTCAGTCGTGTGTTAGTTGTAGTGTTAGGAATAAATACATGCCTTTTATACACTTTGAATCTCCAGCTGAATGACTGCCTCGTCATTAACTCACTTCACTGTTGCCGAATACTAAGCTTCTGAAGTCTCAAGCTTGTGCTAAAGTATTGAGAGACTCTCTCTATGGCCATGATCAGAGTTTTTCTATATAGCTGCTACAGACCTGGTGAGACTTATGAACATTGTAACCCAGGTTAAGTAGTTATATTGTAATTAATGAATTCCACTCATATCCTGGAACTAAGTCTTCCAACAACTGAACAATTTGGACTTCTGTAATATTGTTTATTGGAGAAACAAACCATTGTTTGATTGATTGATTGACTGATAAATTAGTTAATTCTTAATTTCCCTATATATTGGTGGAGACAAATTATTTGAGCTAATTTTTCCTACACGGTTATAGTGATCACCTGCTTTGATGGATCAAAAAGCTTGGGACAGAATCATTCCTGTACAAATACTGTTGAAACAATTTGCTTATAGTAATCGAGCAGCCTGCTTACAGTGTTCATTTTGGGGGGGTTTTTTTAATCCGTGGGGAACCCACAGGGTCATATACGACCCTTCCTTTTATTTCTGCCTTACATTCAACCCACTCATCAAAGTTAAGAATTTATTTTTGCTTTACAGCCCATTGTACCATATATGACCCAGTAACTGACATTTAGTGATTACTGACTGAATTAACCAGATGTTTTTCCACAATAAATATGACCCCCAACGTGTTTTGAAGTTGTTGCTGTACATGATGCAAATATTCACCTGTCAAGCTGTGAATAGGTAAGTGGCAGAAATTTTGCATCATCAGTTATAATGTTTAGATGTTATAGAACATGTACAACTAGGTTTTGGATGTTTAGAAACTTTTCTGTCATCTGTGATGATCATGTTCCATGTGCTCAACATCAGCCTCAGACAACAACAGAGGGAATTCAGGTGGTGCACCAGACCTTACAACCCACCACAAGTAAACTTTCTGTGTGTAGTACACCTTTTTGCAGGTCTGTTCACTTGTCCTGTTTCTTGATGGGTTGGCATGTTTGAAGCATGTGTTTTATTGCCAGCACATGGTGAACGACGAAAAGGAAAACTCAATAAGTGTATTTTGAAAATAAGAATGTTGCAAA